GTTTAATACCCAAAAAGTATTTTTTTGTATTTATCATAATAAATATTAGTAAGTTGACTAGATTCTTTATATGTTTATTTTACACTTTCTCATTTTATTTGTTATTAAATTATTAGTCTTTTTAGTTTGGTATTTTTTNCAGAAGAAAAAAATTAACAATAACTTTCTATTAATTTAATTACCGNTTCTCATAAATCAATTTCGAAAGTGTTTTTTTTATTTTGTAAAACCATGGTAATTCTTTCTAAACCCGCACCGGTATCAACACACTTTTCCGCCAAGGGGAGATACTTTTCTCCTTTATGGTAAAATTCCGGAAAGACAATATTACAAATTTCAATAAATCGTTTATTATCTAAATCCTCAATTTTTTGAGGCAATTTTTTTTCGTTTTGAAAGTCAAAATATATTTCNGTGTTTGGACCACAGGGTCCATCGCCCATGTCTCAAAAATTAGTTTTTTTAGTTCCAAAGAGAATATGATGGTCTTTTATTCCTTGTTTTTTTCAAATTTCCAAACTAACTTTATCGTTTTCCCACACTGTAATAAAAATCTTTTGGGGGTTCATGTTTAGCCAACGAGGAGAAGTAAATCATTCTCAAATAAGGGGAATAACTTCGGCTTTAAAATTACTGCCAATTGAGAAATTACCCAACATTTCAAAACAAGTTTGGTGATAAGATTGAGCCGTAATATTGGCTAAATCGTCGGTGCGGATAACTGGCTGACAATTAACTAAATTGCGAGCCGGCGCTAATTCAGGATTATTAAAATATTTTTTCAGAGTTGCTACTCCCGAATTAATTCATAACAAAGAAAGGTCATTTTGGGGAATAAGAGAAACCGGTTTAACCAAATGATAACCCTTTTGCTGAAAAATATCTATTCAACTTTGCCGAACATAATTAGTAGTAAACTGATTTTTTTGACTCATGTTGTTATTATTTTATTTTAAGATGAATAAGGAAAGTTTTTTTGCTGTGATTATTTTGAAATGGGCATCCTAGGGTTCTATTGTTTTTATAAATAAAATGCTTACAAGCGGAGAATTAGTAATTTTTTGTTAAAATAAATAATATGAAACTTACCAGTCCCGTTTTTAGTNACTATGCTAGTTTACCTTCTTACTACACTTGTGATGGAAAAAATCTCTCGCCCCCCTTAAACTGAACCGAAGTTCCCTCCGCTACTCAATCCTTAGTTTTAATTTTGGANGACCCGGATGCTCCAGTTGGAACCTGGGACCATTGAATAATTTTTAATTTATCTCCTACTCTTACTACTTTACCAGAAGGAGCAAAACAGTTCCCATCAGGAACCAAGTTCGGAAAAACTAGTTGGGGTAAAACCGAGTATGGTGGTCCGTGTCCGCCGGATAAACAGCATCGCTATTTTTTTCGATTATATGCTTTAAAAAGTATTTTAGACTTACCGAATGGAGCCAGCAAAGCCGAAATTCAGGCTGCCATGAAAAACCAAATAATCGCTCAAACCGAGTTAGTGGGATTGTATGCCCGCCCTGGACAAAAAACCGTATGAAATCCTTAATTGAATTACTTATCAAACATAACCTAACCTTGGCTACTTGTGAAAGTCTTACGAGTGGTTTATTTGCGACTACCCTCACCCATTTTCCGGGAACGGGTAAAGTNTTTAGGGGNGGTTTGGTAGTTTATTCGAATGAAGCCAAAATTAAACTGGTTCAAGTTTCTCCTACTACTTTGGAAAAATATGGGGCAATNAGTAAAGAGTGTGCGGAGGAAATGGCAAGAAATACCCAGCGATTACTAAANGTAGATTTAGCGGTTAGTTTTACCGGGAATGCCGGACCCGAAGCNCAAGAGAACAAACCGGTTGGATTAGTGTGAATTGGTTTAATTTTNCGGGAACAATTAATTAGTAAATCTTACCAGTTTTCCGGCTCCCGAGAAACGATTAGGGAAAAGACAGTCAAAGCCGGGGTAGAGTTGATTAAGAGTGTCTTAATTAAAAGTTAGAAAGTTAGTCAGTTTGGTTCGGTAGTTTTTTACAAGTTTTTATATTTTTTTCCTTCTTGCTAACGAAATAATTTCTCCTTTTTGCGGGTCCAGCGGATTTATTTCTACTATTACNTCGCTATTTTGAACTATTCCGGCTCTCCTTCCGCCTCGCTCATTCCGAAAGCGATTGGGAATTGAAGCGGTGATTTCTCAGGAAATTTTTTCNCATTTAACTAGNAATTTATTCCCTTTTAGTCTTTTAATTACTACTCCTGGATAAGAGTTATTGCTCTTCATAATTAGTGATTATTTCGGCTCCGGTTTTGGTAAGGTAAACGGTGTGTTCGAAGTGGGCGTTTAAATGATTATTTTTTGAAACCACCGTTCATTTATTTTCAGAAACCTTAATTTCCGCATCGCCTATTTGGACTAATGGTTCAATACAGATAAACATCCCTTCTGTNAAGACCTCAACCGAGCCGGAAAATTTTTGGCANTTGGGAATGAAAGGAGCNTGGTGCAGTTTTTCNCCAATTCCATGTCCNCCATACTCTTCAATNGGATANTAGCCCCGAGTTCGGATATACTTTTCGAGAGTTCGACCAATATCTTGATTAGTAGTAATACCCGGTCTAATACTTTGAATAGCATAATATAAACTGTCTTTGGCTACTTTCAATAAATTTTTCTTTTTTTCATTCTCAGTTTCTCCTACTAAAACGGTTAGAGCNGCATCAGCATGATAACCTTGATAACTAACTGCGACATCNACNGAAACTAAATCNCCGGTTTNNAAAANTCGGTNATCCGGAACTCCGTGGGTTAATTCTTGGTTTAGAGAAACACAAATCGCACTGGGGAAAACTCGGTCATCAATCCGGTAGCCTAGACTGGAAGAGTGAACTTGGGCTTTGGTCATTAATTGTGAAGCGGTGGCTTCTAAATCTTTNCCGGAAATCCCCGGGCGAATTTCTTGTTTTAGTTTTTGGAGAATGCTGGCTACGACTTTTCCNGCTTTTTTGATANATTCAAGTTTTTGGTTCATNGGATTATTCCANAGGAAAAATTATAATTTTATGGTTCAATCCAACGAATTTATTATAGTTATGACCATTATCCGCCCTGCCTCAATATTGAGAGGGAGTTAGTTCTAACGGAAGATTTTCGGTTCCTTCAATGCGGTAATACTTTACTTCTTTCGGGTTTTTAGGAAANTCAGCCAAAGCGGGATNGTTAGCCGGAATNAAGAGGCTAAAAATTTTTCCTTTTTCCGCCCCTAAAAGACTAATGAAAGAACCCTCCTTATACGNTAACTTTACAGTTTCCATACTACCATAAAAAAGATTTGGCTGACTATTTAATTTTTGCTTGATTTCAGAAAATTTTTGGAAAGGCATTGCTTCAATTAATTGGTGAATTTGGTTGACTAATTTGACTATTTCGGTGTAATCCTCTTGTGCTAATTCCTCCGGTCAAATTTCTTTTGTGTCTAATTCAAAGGGGTGGTCAGTGGCTCGGAAATTTATCCCTTTTTTCTGAAATTTTTCTTCTTCCTCTTTCATTAATTTTTCGTGCTTGGCTTGGCGAGAGTTGGCATTGGCTCGGGCGTTTTCTTGAACTAATTTTTTGATTGAGGGGTCGACAATATCCGCTCTTTCATCGGGATTTTTCACTCAAATTTTATCATTAATTACCAAGTAAGGAAAAGAATACCAACCTTTTTCAAGCCTTTTTTTATTAGTTAAAAAATCNTGTAAATCGGCTTTGATTAAGTTGGCTAATTTTTTTTGCTCGGGATGATGAAGTGGGGGAGGGAGAGGATTTGGTGAAGCGGGAGAATGAGGAGGAATGGGAACTTCGGGCGAAGTTTTTGCTCTTGACAAACTAACTAAAAAAATAATCCCCCCTCCTCCTAAAATTATGAATAGAACTCAAAAGAGGATTTTTTGCTTTTTAGTCATATATTCTATTTTATAAAAANATGGCACTCTGGGGAGGATTCGAACCCCCGACCTCTTGTTTAGGAAACAAAGCACTCTATCCGCTGAGTTACCAGAGTTTATTAATTATTTTAGAGTGTAATCACTAAAAATCTTATTAATTCGCTGAATTTTAACTACTTTGTTGCTATCATTAATTTCAAAAACTACTCCGTTAAATTGTCCTTTGTCTTCGGGGTTTTCGTGGGGAACTATTTTGGCNGGNAANCCCTCTTTGGCTCGGCGAATAATTGCTTTCCTTTCGGCTCCGATAATTCCCTCGGCGGGACCNGTCATTCCTAAGTCGGTAATAAAAGCAGTTTGNTTAGAGAGCATTCTCTCATCGGCGGTCTGAACATGAGTATGAGTTCCCCACAAAACAGTTATTTTTCCCGCAAAGTGTCACGCAAAAGCAAGTTTTTCCGCCGTGGCTTCAGCATGAAAATCAACCAAATGAATNTCGCAATCTTGGAATTTGATTATTTTTTCCAAAGCAAAATAAGGATTTTCGGCGTTCCTCGGCATAAAAGTGGTTCCGAGTAAATTAGTAATTCGGATTTTTTTNCCCTTTTTTTCAGTCAAGAAAGTCCCTCGACCGGGNTGATAAGGATTCGAATTGAGGGGTCGCAATAAGTCAGGAACTTCTTGGATAAACTTTTGAGTTTCTTCACAAGCAAAAATATGGTTGCCCGAAGTCATAACTTCAATCCCGGCATTTTTTAGTTCCTGATAGTGTTTTTTAGATATTCCTTTGCCGTGAGTAGTATTTTCCACATTAGCAATCACCAAATCAATTTGCTGCTCGGCTTTTAACTTGGGAAGGTATTCTTTGATAACTTGACGACCGATTTTGCCAAATATATCGCCAATGGCAAGAACTTTCATTATAATTTATTTTTATTACGGGTAGTTAAAAATCCCTTATCCCCNTCGCAATCTTGGAATTTGATTATTTTTTCCAAAGCAAAATAAGGATTTTCGGCGTTCCTCGGCATAAAAGTGGTTCCGAGTAAATTAGTAATTCGGATTTTTTTNCCCTTTTTTTCAGTCAAGAAAGTCCCTCGACCGGGNTGATAAGGATTCGAATTGAGGGGTCGCAATAAGTCAGGAACTTCTTGGATAAACTTTTGAGTTTCTTCACAAGCAAAAATATGGTTGCCCGAAGTCATAACTTCAATCCCGGCATTTTTTAGTTCCTGATAGTGTTTTTTAGATATTCCTTTGCCGTGAGTAGTATTTTCCACATTAGCAATCACCAAATCAATTTGCTGCTCGGCTTTTAACTTGGGAAGGTATTCTTTGATAACTTGACGACCGATTTTGCCAAATATATCGCCAATGGCAAGAACTTTCATTATAATTTATTTTTATTACGGGTAGTTAAAAATCCCTTATCCCCCACAATAAAATCTTGGCAATTCGAGTGTAATCTGAATCGGAGATAACAAAAGGAATACAGTTGGTAATTAAGGATATTCAAAAATCAATCTTAATTAGATAATTAAGGAGGAAGAACTGGCTAAAACTCAGATTTTCCGCTCCCGCTTTGTGAGCCTTTCTTTTTAATAATCAGTAAACTAGTCAGATGAATAGATATTCCAAAATTACCCCTGCCGCAAGCGAGGTGATTCTTTCAGTGGTGCTTTGGGCAGGCAAAACAGGTCTAGTGAATCCCCCCACCGGAAAGGCTCGAATAGTTAATTTAAATTGCCAGCCAAAAATTTGGGAAAACTGAGCTAAAATTCAACCTTTCCCTAACCCTATCTCCGCAACCCCCCGATTTTGAAAAAAATGGAATACTATGGCGTGTCCTAGTTCATGAAATAAAGTGGCTAAAAAAAGCCAGCCAAAAATCAGCGGTAGCAAAATAAGATAATTTCGTCAACTTCCAAAAGCCCGGCGATTATTCTCCGGCGGATTANGCCAAATAATAACGGCTGAAACTATAATCGGAACTAAAATGCTGAAAATTAAATCAGTATCCATAAAATAATTTTATTGGTGCCAAACCCGAAAAAAAATTCCTTTTTTGCTAACAGTTTTAAAATTCTTATATGAAACTCCCAATTGATTGAAAAAAACTAAAACTTTTTGGGTGGTGGTTAATCGGCTGGCTCGGGTGAGGAAAATGACTGGTTCCGCCGGTGAAGTGTCGGACTATCCGCCAAAATAAAAACTCGCTCATTGGTAAAGCCTACTATTTTTGTGATTTGCGGAGTTGGAAAATTAAAAGTCCTTTGCGAGGAACGGTCAGTAAAATCTATCCCAATTTCGCCGTTCAAATTACTAATCAATACGGGTTCCAAATTTTACTTAGTCTCCAAGTTAATAAAGTAAATCCGATGCCGCTNGATAAAATATTTCAGTGTGAAGTTAAGGAGGGCGAGGAAGTTAGTCCNAAAANTGTGCTTTTTATCGTTTATTTAGAGGAATGAGTGGTTAGTCTTTCCGTTTTTATTCCTTGGCAACCGGAAGTTTTAAGAAAGGTGGGAAACTTGGAAAAGCATGATAAAAATTATTTTGTGGAAGTTTTTTATCGCAACCCTTATACTAAAATAAA